TAAAGAATTTCAACTTAAAACTATAAAATATGAAGATGTAATCGAATGGATTCCTTTTAATAGGTTATATAACGTTCAAAAGATTGGTGAAGGAGGATTTGGCTCAGCGTTTTCAGCAATGTGGATAGATGGCAAAAGAGTAGTTGCAGGCGAAGAGGGGAACTACTCACAATCACGTACACCATTATGTATAGTTGCACTTAAGACATTACCTGGTTCACAAAAGAATTTTTTAAGAGAAGTAAGTTAAAATGATTTATTTATGACTTAAATAGATAAATATTAATATCATAAATTTATTTATTTAACAAGTTTAAAAGTTATACGGAATGTAGATTAGCGGGTATCAATCTTGAGGTTTATGGGATAACTCAAAACACAACTACTAATGAATACATGATAGTATTTCAATATGCAAATAAAGGAAGCCTTCGTAAGTTCTTATCATCAAATTTTAGAGAACTTAATTGGAAATGTAAATTGAAGCAACTTATTGATATATCAGAAAATTTAATAAAAGTACATGAGGCAAAATACATTCATGGAGATTTTCATAGTGGTAATATATTGCAACATCAATATCTCAATGGCGATTTAATATCTTACATTGCAGACCTAGGATTATCTAGAAAGAATGATGATTCATGTTCTGAAGATGGTATTTATGGCGTTTTACCTTATGTTGCCCTGAAGTGTTAAATAAACGACCATATACAATTGCAGCGGACACCTATGGTTTTGGTATCATTATGACTGAAATATCTACAGGAAGACCACCTCATTATGATATTGAATATGATGTAGCGTTGGCTATTCAAATATGTAACGGATTACGTCCAGAATTTGCTAAAGGCACACCTGAATGCTATATTCAATTGGCCAATCAATGTATGGATGCTAATCCATCTAATAGACCAACTGTATTTTATATCTATAAGAAATTACTAAGGTGGTATAATATTGTAGACAGTAAAAGTGAATCGACAATATTTAAAGCATTTCGATCAGCAGATGCAATGATTCCAACATTATCAACGCAATTACCAATTTGTTCTGAGGATAAATTTACAAGTAAACTGCTCAACTTTAGAAACCTTTCTGAGCCAATTAATTCATCATTTATTCCACCTTTAGAAGTGTTAAAGAATTGTGGTAAATAATTCACTTATTATAATATGTTTCAATTTTAATCGATAAAATTTTTACAATTTAATCTTTTAGATTCTACTACACTTGATTTTTCAATTTCTGATGAATGTGATAACGATATTTAATGTGTGTATTTAATATTTTTAATTTATTAACATATAAAAACGTTTATTAATCTGTAAATATTATGATTTCTATAGCTAACGATAAAATTTCATGAATAAGTATATTTATTCAAATTTAATATTTATTTAAGCTATTGAAATTATTTGTATTTATAAATTAAAGCTAGAAAACTTGATTTATACTTATAATAAATTTTATTTGGTGTTGAATTTAAACGATTAAGGCCATATTTTTAGTTGAATGTTTGCATCAAACATTTCATATTAACAGTTGAAAGATCCTACATTAGCGAAAAAATATAATTACAAGTTTTGATTAATAATTTTCAACTAACGTACTTTGTGTCAGAGTACCTTGTATCGATTTTAGACGGATGAGCACATTTGATCTTTAATCAAATCTATATATTAAAATATATGTAAAAGTAACTATAGATTGTCTTAGCTATTGTCAATAGATAGTAAATGTAAAAGAATTTAATTGAATCAGGGAGGATGCTAATATTTTTGAGCGAATTCATTTCAGGGAAATTTCAATAAATTTTCTTTCGTTTTTAAAATAGTCTTAATTATAGTTATATTTACAGCGGGATCAAATGTATTACATTCAAAACTAAAATGACTTGCACAATTGCAAGTAAAATCAATTCTTTACTTGTGCAAATAAAATTTTTGCAATATATATATGTCATATAAATTTGTGCAACTTTTTTTAAAAAACTATTTGCACCTTTGCATAAATTTTTTACAAAATATATACTAGCAAATTTAAAAAAAGCTTTTGCACATGTGCGCTTTGTGCAAGCTAATTTTAAACACTGGCAGGATCATTGACTTTGCTGTAGCCGTAACCGTAACTTGCCGAATGCCATTATAATTTATTGAAATGATTCACCTGCATCAATAATCGTATCCATTCGTTGCTCAGGCAGAATTTTCTGTCACCAAGTCAGATCCGAGCTCGCTACCTTACGATCTATTGCAACGAATTATATAGTTTCTATAACTGATAAGAAATATTTACGCCTTTAACACGTTGTAGACCATACACTTCGTGACTTTATTATTTCATTCTTGTATATTTTCTTATTTTAGTCACTTTAATTTTTATTAAAAACCAGAATTAATTTCCTATAAACGGTTTACAATTAAATAAGAATTATACTCTAGTATTTAAAATTACGAAACAAGGAAAAAGCTACTTAGATCGACCTCTATAAAATATTGAAATAAACATTTAATAAGAAAATAGAGCATATAGATGTCATTAATATTGATCCTTAATTAAATAATTATATAATGCATACGGATCCTTTCCTTTATAAAATTCTATAAGGTCATTTTGGTGTTGCCAAGTTTTCACTATCATAATTGAATAAAATACGCGACCAGCACTGCGGAATCTGTGGTGCACAAATTGAAAAAGCACAATTTTCTTGGAATCTGCATGTTACGCGTTTTTTTGAAATTGAATTTTAAACACTGATTCTAATCATTTGTTTAGCATGTGACATTTTTGGTACCTTTTTTGATCAAAAACCATTAAAGATTAATGTACGGTAAAATACCTTTATTATAATGTAATTATTCAAATGTACAAATACTATACTGTATATTTCTAATTTGTACTACCATACTAAAATATTTCTTCAATTGGTTTATTGGCGTAATTATTACAAGAAATAATAGAGCGAACTTGGGTTTTATAGCGCTAATTTTTAAATGCTGCTCTTAATGTCAACACTCATAAATAAATAGTGCAACACAGAAAAGTTTATTTTTTGTCAACTTTATGTATGGTACATGTGTTTGTTCCTGAAAACGACTAGAAACCAATTGTACTTCATGTGGTATTCTTGAATATGTATCAGGTTATTTGCGTGGCTATCAATCAAATCCAAGTGCAATTCATATATCAGATTTCTGTTTACTTCGTACAGTACATTTCAATGAACATATCGTCATGTCCCGGTTTTTATGTACAAAAAAATAGTTGTAGAGAATGGCCATCACCGAATTAATCAATAAGATACATTAAGGGGTTTCAGAATTAAACTTCGTAAAACTTATTTTGATAAAATAAGATGTCATATTTATTTTGAAATAAGTGAAGTACAAATCCTATTTATTTTTTAATTAAAATTCGAATACACTTATTTATATGATCTTCCTTATTATTCGATACTGCTTCTAATACCGTTTTATGCCTAACATGCCTAAAATTTCACATCGACAAAGACACTTATAAACGAATACTCAACTAGCATGTATAAGGCTATTACTAAAGTTCTGGATAAAAAAATTGACAAATTATTCGAATTAATACAAGCCATAGAACTGGATCGGTATCTTACTATACGTGAAAGAACAATTAAATTTAACGATTTTTTCAAGTAAGCTATATAAAAAAAATTTAAGCGAAAGTTTAATAAGTTATATAAAAAATAATTTAAGCAAAAGTTAAATAATATAAAAAAATAATTTGAGCGAAGGTTTAGAAAGTTATATAAAAAAAATAATTTGAGCGAAGGTTTAGTAAGTTATATAAAAAATACCTTAAATGAAGGTTCATAAGTAATTTGAGTAAAAAATTTGAGTAAAATTCAATAAATAATTTGAGCGAAGGTTTAGTATGCTATATAAAAAAAAATATCTTAAGTGAAGGATCAGTAAGTAATTTGAGTTAAGGATCAGTAAGAAATTTGAGCAAAGGTTCAATAAATAATTTGAGCGAAGGGTATAAAAAAATAATTTGAGCAAAGGTTTAATAAATAATTTGAGCGAAAATTCAATAAATGATTTGAGCGAAAGTTTAGTAAATAATTTGAGCGAAGGTTTAGTAAGTTATATAAAAAAAAAATACTTTAAGTAAGGTTCAGCAAGTAATTTGAGCGAAGGTTCAATAAGTAATTTGAGCGAAGGTTATAAAAAATAATTTGAGCGAAAGTTATAAAAAATAATTTGAGCGAAGGTTATAAAAAATAATTTGGCGAAAAGCTTTATTATTACTCTGTATTTTGTTATTAAATAGTTTGTTGATCTGCATAATAAAAAAATTTTTACTTATTTCGTCAAATGGGAGTCTCTAAACACTCCCATTTCATTTTCCAATTTCAAAATTTTGACACACTCTTATTTATTTCTGAAATACACTATTTTTTTTTAATTCTGAAACCCCTTATTACCGTTAATTTTAGTTTCATTTACAATATTAAAGTATGTCGAGTTCTAATCAAATTGTACATTCTGAAGTTTAAAGGAATCAGATTCTTATTTTCTGGTAGGAGTTAAAATATCTTGTTATGGTTTCACAGTACAATTTTCTCGTATATGAGCACCAGCACCATGTCTCACAGTTTCGTATTCTCAAGAGCTAATTTCATACTACCTGTACGATATTATGCCAAACTTTGCAATTTTATGAATAAAGTCAATAAAATATATTAATACATTATATTCTGATTAGATCAGTTTTTTAAAGCATCTGAATATTCCTATTTAATTCTCTAAAATCTACGGAAGAACTTTATTATTCCATGTATACTGTAATGCACGGATTATTGTAACTGCTGAAATATAAGTAAAAATAATAATAATAATTAAATTACAAACATCTTAGGTGTGCCAAAAATTTATACTCTTTGTAAAATGTCTAATTAAAGTCTATTATCGTAATACACGTACACACATTGTACGCGTCTTCTGACTATCTCGTAAGTCAAAAATATGTCTTCCCCAAAAGGCATTCGTGTAGTGTGCGCGATAGGTTTGTTCCAAATAATCTTAGATTTATCTGAAACAATAATAAATAATGACCTCTCTAACTTTATTTAGATTTTGGTACAAAATATTCGGTAAGAACTTCAAAAAAAGTTCTATATAATACATAAAATAAAATTTTTTTTTACTATTCTATATAATGTTTTATTGTTCATATAATGTAACTTCTCTTTGATAGCGTTTTGCATACACTCATGTAGTAAATCCTAAAATTATAGTGAATGAAAGTTGGCCTGAGCAAACAGGTCCACTAAGAACTAACACCATTTTACAGTATGATGATAATTTTCAAAATGTTATGTCATGAGGTTTTCCTGCGTTGGCTCAACGATATAATCGTCGAAGGAAAAATAATTCAAGACCTGTTGAATTATTTAAATTGCATTTGATGGACGTGCCGGAAGATCGAAAGCCTATTTTGCCAGAAAGATTAGATTATAAGAAAGCAATCGCTGATTATCTTTGTAAATTGGGTATATATATATATATATTATCATGATTAAAAATGAAAGCTTAACATAATGATTTTTGAATAAATAATTTTATGTGCTTATTTATTCTTTATAATTAAAATAAATAGTACTGTGATAATCGTGCTAAATACAGTATAATCATTTTGATGAACTTCTCGTATAGCTGGTTAAATCGACATTTGATGCTCGTTGGCCTCAAGTTGAGTTCTATAAACATGTTTTGATTATTCTTACTGTTCCTGTGGAGTTCTCTGAAGAGAAAAAGGGCATAATGAAGCAGTGTGCTTATAACTGTATAATGCTGGGTTAATCACATCGATCACATCCCCCAATCTAAAGTTTGTAAATGAACGTATGTATTTTAATACTATTAATTTTTTCTTTTTTTAGATTTAATATAATTATTAATATTTGGTGGTTTTTTTTTTTTTTTACAGCTGAAGCTGCTGCGATTTATTGTATAAGATCTTTAAATGAATATTCTATGACTAAAGTTGGGAGTAAGTAACCAGTCATACGTATAAACATAGACAACCATTTTTTATATCATTAATAATCTATCTAAAATTGACAAATATATTTAGCTTTTTTTCTAATTGTAGACATAGGCGGTGATACCGTAGACATAACAATAAGAAAAATATTACCAGGTAATAAATTAGGCGAAATAACCGAACAAATTGGTGACTTTTGTGGTGGAAGTTTTGTCGATAAAGAGTTTATCAATTTTCTTACTCTAAAAGTTGGTAAACTTGCTATGAATTCAGTTAAAGATAATAATTATGATTTATTACAATACCTGGCTCAAGAATTTTGTCGAGTTGCTAAATTCCCATTTACTGGTGAACAGAAAGACTTTAAAACATTTGAATTGGATCTTGAAAATTTGTGTCCAGTTTTAAAAAATTATGTTGATGATACTACTGAAAAACAATTGGAAGAATTAGAATGGGTGATTGATATTGAATTTGAAGATGTTAAGGGAATGTTTGATCCCGTAATTGGCAGGATCATTCGTTTGATACGTGGTCAATTGGATGCATGTAAGAATTGTACTGCGATTTTTTTGGTAGGTGGGTTTAGTGAATCTAAATACCTGCGAAAAAGGATCAAGGAAGAATTTGGCAAAAGAGTACCTATTATTTCAAGTCCTGATAAGCCTATTACTGCTATTGTCCGGGGAGCTTTACTTTATGGTCTCGCTGTAGTAAAATCACGTGTATTGAGGTATACCTACGGTATTAGATCCTTATCTGATTGGCAACCTGGTGATCCTGTGAACCGAAGAACTCCTGATGGAAAGATCTTTAAATTTCATAACTTAATACAGCGTGGAAAGAAAGTAGAGATTAATGAACAAGTTTCTGATATTCTTCGTGTTGCACATGCGGATCAGGTAGATATGTGCATGGATATATATGTTACACGTGCGTATGAGGTAAAATATTGCGATGAACCTGGTGTTGAATTACTTGGAAAGCTTACAATTAATATGCCCGATAAACATCTTGGACTTAATCGCTCAGTTGTCTACACGCTTTCATTTGGAGAGACAGAAATTAGGGCCACTACAAAGAACAAAGCAGGAAAAGAATATCATACCATTTTCGAATTAATTTTCGACCAGAATTACATATTTTAAATCATTGACAATTATACTTTCTATACTTAACAATTATGAAAATAGATAGACATTTGATATATTATAAAAGGTTTAATAATTTTAATAAGAAATATCAGATATTCAATGGAATTTTAAATCAGTTATTATCCCTTCAGCTATATTCCAGGCAAATTTGTCTGGAATTTTGAAAAATATTTACAATTTTTTTAAAAATAAAATTAAAAAGTATAATGATATGGAGTATATCAAAAATATCAAAACAGAAGCTGCGGTAAGGTTTTTCAAACTTTGAGAGAAGATATCTCGACAACTACCTATAATTTTTTTTTTGAATTTTACTAAAACGCACCTATGGTGTTTTACACCATAGGTCTCTATTTCTCAAAAACATACTAAGTAAACAGGATCGGGTACTCTAAGCAAATATGTTCAGGACCCCAAAAACCTCACGAAAACTGAGATCGGGACCTTATATTACTCTATATTATATTATATAAAAAAAAACTAATTCTTAATACCCGAACCCTAACCCTAAATTTTATTTAAAACAATTATATATGGTGCTAAAACACCATAGGTGCGTTTTATAATAATTGTTTTTTTTTTTTATTTTAATTATATAGAATCGGAATAAAAAAATTTTTGTCGAATTTAGATAGGTGGTTGTCAAGATATTTTCGCGAAAGAAATTACATTTCGATAATTAATTTCGTCCAATCAGAATGTTGATATTCAAGTAGAATCGACACTTTTTCCCGCCACCTGCATTATTATAGTTAGTATTAATATTATGTCATGAATACTACATCCAATCAGAATAAGAAACGCTAAACTCTGATTTAACTATACGACAACATGTGCTTATTAAAACTAGTGCACAAAATCTATTGTAAAATATCGGAATTTCTATTTAAGTCAGACAAATTTCATTAACCATAATTCAACTTTAAAATGACATTAGGGGGTTTCAGAATTAATGATTCGGCGTCCGATTTCAGATAAAATAAGTGCCGTATTTATTTCAAAATAAGCAACTTACAGATTCTATTTTTTTCAAAGTATGTACTTATTTACATAATCGTTTACCGATGAATGTTTACCAAAAAAAAGCTACCAAAAAAAAGCCAAATTTTATCACCGGCTATGCCTATTTAATTTTCTGATCGGAATTTTAAAAAAGAAAATAGGACCTTTTAAACTCTCACTTATTTTGAAAAAAAGTTAATTCTGAAACCCCCTATTGCTATGTATTACACAAATGATCTCTTTATACAAATGACCAATAAACACAAAAATACAGAAATAGGTCTAAACCTATTTTGGCTATTCTGGTGCATTAACATAATTCAAACTAGCTTTATCGTTTAATTTTATAGCGCTTTGCAAAAAGATGTGACCCCATGATATTTGTGATGATGAACAAGGAAAATTTCTGAGATTCTAAATTGTCTATTAATTGAAATTGGTAAAATTCTTAAAATCTACAGAATCTCCGATTTTCACATGACATTGTGATCTGCAGAGGTCACATCTTTTTGCAAAGCGCAATAATTACTTTACCTTAGACACACTTCCAAGGAAATTAGAAACATATCCGCGAATATTAGAATTACTATTTAAAAATTTAACTATAAATAATTTTATTCATTGGTCCATTTTGGATGATCTTTTACCATTAAATGATCGTCTCAATGAGACGATTAAAATTCAATCATGGAAAATCCCGAGATCGTTAAGGATTTGTGTCATTTCAGGAGTTTAGGATTGATTAAACCAATCCTATAACAAATCCTTAACGATCTCGGGATTTCATGATTGGAATTTAACGAGTTAAGATCGTTAAAGATTTTGAAATTTTAAATAGTAATTCTGTACCCGGGCAGACATTTTTATTATATGCCAATAAATTACCCGGGTAGAGATTTAAATTAGATAAAATTTCACCACCATATATAGCAAGATAGGTCATCAATATTATTTATACGTAATACGTAGCGATATCGTATTAACCAAAATATGTTTCATATTATTTATTATAAATACTGCTCCTTGATCAAAGGAAAGTACGGATCATAAAAACTATCATATTCTTTATTATAAATACTGCTATTTGATCAAAGTAAAGTACGGATCATAAAAATTATCATAAATAACCATCATGAAAAAGCTCTTTTTGATTTTTATTCTCGCATTTTTGATTATCACTGTCGCTGAAACATCGAAATTGAAAAGAAAAGATAATTCACTATCTTCTTTGTTCAAAAGAGCGCCTACAATTTGTGATCCTAAATGCAAATCATCACAAGTATGCCTTGTAGGTGGTCGCTGTTGCGATTCGAACTTAACTTGTGGGAATGATTGTTGTGTTCCTTCTAGTTCAGATAAACCGAAATGCTGTGGAACCATTTGCTGTTCCAAATGCTGTCCAAATGGAATAGGTTGTGAAGGTACATGTACGTAGGCATTTTTTAATACGTACGTACGTACGTAATTAATATTAACTGTTAAGGAAAACCTTTAGCAAATGAAAATGCAGTCACATTATATATCAAGAAGGCTCATAGATACATATATTTAAAAATTTTTCATATCATACTGTATACAAAAATAGAATATTGAAAATTAAATTTTATTATATTTATTTACTATCAAAATTTGTATACAATAAAATTCTTAAATAAGATGTGATTAAGTTCTTTATTATTTATGTTACTTCGAAATTGTAATATCAATCACAAATTTAAAAATAAAATGTTATCGTGCAAACTCTTATAATCATAGGTTTTCTTCTTGTTATTTTTTGTATGTTATTATGTAAGCACAACAATTCTCAGTTAGTCAATTAAGACTTGTAAAGCATGATCATAAATATCGATATTGGATCATGCGATAATAAATATCACAAAAGAGACGATCTGTCGACACAGCATCCACATGATTTATCGACACAGCGACATTTCTCTATATCCGATCTAATCAATTTCTTAGTAGAATCAACTTTTGCTGTGCTGATAAGGGAGATAAATCATGTGAATGCTGTATCGGTAGACTGTCTCATCACAAAATTTGTTATGTCAGATTAAATAATTGACTGAAATGTGCCGTTGCGTGGCACATGTCAACCATTTACCCTGACAGAACAAATTCCATGATATTAATCGTTGCATGACCAATATTTTATAATTACTTTGCAATCATTTAAATCAGTAAAAATTTTATTAAATGTAAATATTACATATTTAAATATGAACCTTTGATTAGACGACACAAATAAAATTTACTGGTTTTCATATCCGGCTGGGTCAGAAAATTGCAAAATCTAAAATGTTTTTTATGCCGCAGTAAGTAGATAGCCAATCAAATTACGCCATCATTATAACATGTAAAATTGATGTCTTGGTATACAAATACTTGATCACATTAGATTAGTGTTGGCGGTAGAATTAATCTGGTAAATTAATACAGCTACGTGCCGTAATGCCATAATGGCAATTCTTGAATGTGTGCCAGGTTGATGGCAGACACAATGATCTTTTTTTATTTCAGTATCTACATATTCAACGAAATCTCCACCATGTGTTTCATCAAAAGACATAACAGAAGTAATATAGCTTTAAAAATTTTTAGTTCGTTCATTATAAAAAGTACTATTATCCCTTAAACTGTAAGCAATTCCAGGCAAATTTGCCTGGAAAATTGCTATAAATTTGCTTATGATTTACTTTT